ATGGAGGGCGCTCGCCGTGTCTTCGATTCTGTCATGAAGGATACCTCGGTCGCTGCCACCGCCTGCCTCTTCCAAGCTTTGTTCGAGTCCATGGTCGCCAACCATCAGGTCGCCGACACGGAGGCTGTTCTCGTTGATATGCGAAGCAAGCGCGTCGAGCTGACACCCTACATCGCCAACACTCTAATTCATGGCTGGGCCGCGGAGAAGAACATCGCGAAGGCAAAGAAGATCTATTCCTCCGTCGGACGCGACAAGCGCGAGCCGAGCACCTACGAGGCCATGACACGGGCCTATCTCGCCGTGGAAGATCGCGAGGGAGCCAAGTCCGTGGTCAGCGAAATGCTTAGCCGCGGATATCCCAGCGCGGTCGTCAACAAGGTTTTGGAGCTGCTAGGTGGCGGCAATGCCGAGGAAGCCTCTTCTTCGGCTGCCACTGCCTAATTTTGTGCGTTCGCGCGTATGCTTCTTTTCTTGTCTCGCGGTTTCCTGCATTTTTCTTTATTTCCTTTGTTGTCTCGGCATGATACCCCTTGTGTGCAACATTCGCGGCTGGTTAGGCTGAGTTCATAATCTGGGGTGTGTGACCCAAGGATTGGGATCATTTGGAAGGGGAAGAAGAAACTTGACGGAAGGGACGGGAGGCTCACTCAAATCAGCCCTGCTGTGTTGCGCCGAATATATCATCCACATTTTCTTGTGTCTGTCATAAAAATGGGCTTTCAGGTCTCAGCGAGAGGCGTTTCATGGGGTTTCCTATTTATATACTTTTTTGTTAACTGAAACCGGGGGCCCCGACGTTTTATGGCTTTACGTCGTGAGGCTCGGTTTGCTGGACTTGGATGGGACGGCATCATGGGGAAACATTGATCAGGGCCAGGCGGCGGCAAACAAACCATATAGACACATCTCCACTCTATAAACAAGAGAAGCAAGCAAGCATAAGCATATAGGAAGCGGGTTTACGACGCGGGATATAGAAGAGAAGAAGAAATGGATCGCATTGTTCAGTATCATCTGGGGGCGGTTTATTGGGTGGGGGATGGGGACGGAATGACGGAACTCGCTTCTGTATATCACATATGTGTAATTGTACTACTTACAAACTATATCATGATGACTGTTCATGTTCATGGCTGTATAAATATGGGGCACTTCGTGGAGTGTGTCAAGAGTGTCGTGTTGTGCCGTAGCTGTTGGCACTTGTAAGCGTTGGGACATAAGACAGAGGCTAAAAAGATTTGAAGAGAATGAATGGCTCATTTTTACTACTTCCCTAGGCATTTAGCACGTTTGATCTAACTTCATGCCTATAATTTATACCGAAAAGAGAGGGAAACTCCTTTTTCGGAGGGACAGGCAACTGTAGACATTTTTAAGCTTTAGTTCTACTTGTTGCCTTTTTTTACTTCTCTCTTACGCTCCTCTTTACACTTCCTTTCTCCCTGCTTCGTCCTCTTAATCTAACAAAATATCTACAACAGAACGACGAAGAAGTAACAAAGTCTCAAATTGTTACGACCCTGGCACCCTGCACTGGCACTGGCGCCTGGCACGCAACGAACACACCCATTGAATGCCCTCATTGAATGATGACGGCATTGGTCAGCCGCCTTCACTACACCCTTTGTGTACAGCAAAGGCCACAGGACCTATTGATCACAGGACCTCTTGCATTAGCCTAAACCTAGATATCTTAGATCCATTCACTACAGCTGAGAGGTCTATATAAAGGACCTTGGGGCCCGGCCTTATGCCACCCTTTTCTCCTCAGCTTAGAATTACACAATACAGAAGGTCATAACTGCAGCCTTGACTCAGTCGACCTACCTGCCCGTGACACAAATGAAGAGATTTACTTAGCAATGAATACCTTATTAGAATAAATGTAGGACGCACTTCATTACCACAGACCCTCGCACGACCCTTTCGATTCTCCGGTGTTGAGGCGCTCACCAAGACCTTAAAAGACGAAAAGACGAACTAACCCTGGTCAAACGCACGCTAAAAGTACCAATCAGGGCTGTTATCGTAATTGCCGTAATTGCCAAGAATCGATTTCCGGCCAAGGCCATGCGTTTGTTTGGTCATTGATGTGATGTCACCAAGTGACGTCATTTTCTATGGTGGGCAGGAGCAGGGAAAATGGGTGGACTGGGTCCATAAGATTCATCTCAACACCGATCGATCAATTGTATGCTGATCGACACTGGAGTCGCTGCACATGCTACTAAATTAGCAGTAACTTTTCACACCTAATACGTTTAGGTACTTTTCATACTTATTTTACCTACCAACCTACTTACACGCAGCCTCGTGTCAAAGGCTGCTTACCAAATGCCAGCCATGCGTTTGGGCGGCCAGACAAGAACTGCGTGCGAGCGCTGCCGCAAGAAACGGGCAAAAGTAACATTCAACCCAAAGAAAAGTCAGAGTATAAAGATTAGGGTTGGCCTAATCATAAGAAAGCCTGCTAACTTGACGACTACTAATGTATAGTGCGACGGCAAACCTACGTGCCAGAAGTGTGAAGAGTCTGGTCACCTCTGCGAATACGACCTTCACACCCGACGGGAGACAAAGAGCGATCTGCGAGAGAGCACCCAGCGGCTGAGGAAATCCAGCGTAGAGACAGAAGAAGTCCTCAAGACCATCGCCTCGATCGAAGATCCAAACATATGCAAGGCCGTGCTCCAGGGTCTGGTGGATGGCAACACATCCCGCCAAGACATCTTGGAGGGAAATTTCAAACTGGAAGACGTCGACATCAACATCAAGCAAGACTCACACACCCCTCAGCTTGACTCAGACTTGCCTCTCTTTAAAAATCCAGAGGCACCCCTTGCGAGCCAACAATGCTTCGGCCAGCTGCTTTCATGGAGGCTATGTCGCCCTCCTCCACCACCCACAGACGCTTACATAGCAGCAAAAACACCACCCACCGTCCTCTCTCTCCCTCTCATCCCCTTGGACGCCCACAGCCCTCCCCTTCAGCCGCACGTGGACACTTGGACCCGTACAGGATGGACCCGAGCCCACATCCGCCACCTGGTGGATGCTCTTCTGACCTGGGACTTCCTGCCGTTCTGCCTCTTCTCTAAAGACCTGTTTCTCCAGGACTACCACACTGAATCAACCCAGTTCTGCTCAGCAGGGCTGGTACATGCCGTCCTTGCCTTAGCTACCCGACTCATCAACGAGGCTGACGACGACGACGCGGGACTGCTGCCCTCAGGGTGGTTGGGGAGCAATCTCTTCTTCGACGCGGCTGCAGCCATGGTTCTCGACACTGGGCCGGTTCACAGTCTTCCAGATATCCAGGCTGTTGGGGTTCTTGCCCTCTATCACATACGCTGTGGGCGAGAGGCCGAAGCCCAGAAGCTCACAGAGATTTTCGTCTCCAGAATCACAGTGCTCTGCCAGCGTGATGCCCCTTTTGCCGGCAACGGAGAGGACGAACAATATGCAAGGTCACGAGCAACCACTTATTGCGGTGCAATAACCTTAGCTCGGTCAGTCCAACCTACCAAGACAACGCCCGACTCCATGCTGACCACTGAAGCGTAGCATGTTATCCATGGCAACTGGACAGCTGTTTAACAACCCCCACGATGCGACTCACAGTGAACTGTTGTGTCTAGATCAGACATTTCAGAGCAGTGAAGATCACAAGAGCGAGAGGAGTGCAGTCAGTAAGTTGCTCAATGGCAAACTCGATTTAAATCACATATGGGTCGCCCACTAACAAAAAGGGATGAGGTCTCACATCAGAGGCCTACAACACGCAGCTGCTTCAGGCTATCACCACCAAAATATACCAGCTCACCGAGTGGGTGTACAATATCATCGTCTCAGCCCAGTCCGACACCGGCACCGGCACCGACACCGCGCCAAGAGCCATGGTCAGCGTGTACACACAGTGCCTCGGCTGGTACGAAGAGTTTTTTGCTCTCCTCCAGTCCAACGGCAGCAGAACGCCGCTGTTACTGTTTGTCCAGTAGGTATCCACCGCCAAACCCGCCTTTTACGACGAACCAGACCTACCTGCCCACCCACCCACCTACCTACCTCAAGCACCAACAGGTTCTAACAAGGGTGTATGTATATATAGCATGTACTATCACTTCTGTCTTTTCTGCGCCTTCAGGCCGTTCATCAGCCTATACTCGCTACCCGACTCGGATATCCGGCCCCAAGAGATATGCACGCAAGCCGCCCAGTCCATCCTGGCGCTGGCGCAGTCCTACGACGATCTGTTTACGCTGCGGCGCGTGTCCGGGGCGATGCCGTACTTTGTGTGTGCGTCAGGCCTGTTTAACCTTGCCCTTGAAGACAGCGGGAACAGCTCCGTGGACAGTTTAGACCGTCATCGTCGTCATCAGTCATCTCAACAATCATCAGTACGGGGGGACGACGAGGACTCTCCGATGACGAACTACAGCTATGGCACCAAGTCCGAGCCCCCAGAACAACAATTTCGTGATATGAGCGTATCGAGCGAGGCCACGAACACGACGTCGCAATCACCTCTCAAGACATCGGCCGCTCGTCATGCGCAGTTACTCCTCGCCAAGATGGGCTCAACCCATCCTGCAGCTAGGATAGCCAGTCGAGTGCTGCGAGATATGATCGGGATGAAGCGAGAGAAAGGCGAGGAGCTGAATTAGGCCGTAACACCACATTTAGGGCAGCACGACTTGTACGTAGAGCTTAATTCCATGACGATCCCCAATAAGACAGCGAACGTTTGGCGTTTGGTTGATTTGGGACTGCTGGGACTTGCACCATCGCAATTTGACGGCAAAGATACCTAGGTACACAAAAGATAAGAATAAAAGTAAGATCCTAAATTGATGCTGAATAACAAAAACGGTTGCCAAGCCAAACTACTGAGATAATTCCAACATTATCTGAACACCCCATCCCTGAGGCCAATAAATCAGCTCGTTATTACAATACCCGAGGCATAAATGTGAAGTCCAAAAAAAGAAAGGAATGTTTGAGAAGAGTGGGAATCGAACCCACGCTCTTTCGAACCACGGAATCCGGGGATTAAACACACAGATGATAATTAAAGACTCAAAGACCTTAACGTGGCGCCTTAACCGCTCGGCCATCTTCCCCTTGTTGTTTGATGGAGTAAGGGAGTGGAAAGACTCTTCACTTGGCTGGAGACTGGTCGTGGGTGGTGGATCTCTTGACAGGTAGAGATTTTTGTCGTGGAGTGGAGAAGTGGGAATGATACGGGGGTTTCACCTTTTGAGAGTCATGTCGGACTCCATCAGATCCGGGGCATCATGTTCGGGACATTATTATGGGGTTAAAACTAAGGGCTGCCTGAGTAACGATGATGGATGTTCGTGTACCTCCTTTCGCAAGTCTAAATATCCATGGAGAAGGTGAAAGATTTGAGTTATGAAATACTTCGAGTCTCGAAATAGATGAAGCATTGATCATTTCGAAAGAATTCCAGCTAGGCACCAATGAAGGACATTATTAAAGTCTCAACGACGCATGATGCAGAAAGAGAATGGGTAATAGGCTCCCAATGTCAACGAACCCCCTGTTGTTTCCCCCTTTGAGCCCTCCCACAAGAAGCATGATTCTCACCCAAACAGATACATACGACCATAGGCACTGGAAAATTCGGGATCCCGTCCGCTCTCCCATAGACAAGCCAGTGACCGCCAGACTAGTAGTTGGGTGGGTGACCACCAGCGAATCCCTGGTGTTGTATGTTTTTTGCCCCCTTCTTTTTTCTTCCATTTCTGCAAACGAGCGAGGTGAGTTATTTGGCAGAAACGGTGTTTGCTGCCGTGGCTGAGATTGTAAAATGTTCCTCCTTCATGGGACTATTACAACTACATCTCGTTTGAAAGTCCATAGTCACTGCCATCGAGAACTGAGGTCGCGTTTCGTTATTCAAAATCCTCATCATCGTCGAGATCTTTCACTCACCGTTTCGAAAACCTTTATCGTGGAGAAGATTCCTCAGCCACCCTCTTCTCTTTCTCGCGTAGAGCTACAGAAGTTTGTGGGAGGCTGCTGGCGTTGGCTGGCTTCTGTCAGGAGACGTTGGACCTGAATAGCCACTGGGCTGTGTGTGTGGATACATGGGAGCCTTGGGGCGCTGTCGGTGTCGGGGGCCGCGGATAGCGGGCGGTCAGCAGTATCGCAGGGACGTCACGCAGTTCAGCCACATAGTTGACTTTCTGCTTAGGCTGGTCTAGGAAGCTATGGATATATCGGGGACTCGAACTGGGTCTGTTCTTGACGAGGAAGATGCTCTGCAATGCTGGGAGGCGGTCGATGTTGAGGTCGAAAAGAGCTTGGAGATGAGTCGATCTCAAACTGCGTCGAAGATTGGCCCGTAACGCAATGCGTTGGATCCGCGACCGGTCGAGGCCCTGGAGGGGATCGAATGGCAGCGACTTCATGACGGGCAAGTTCCCCCTGCGTTCCTCCCTAACTACAAACCTGGTTTCCGACTCCCGCTCGGGGGTGCCGAGGAAGATGTCGTTTTCGTAGCTGACAAAAGGCATGTCGAATCGTATTTGTCCGATGAGGTCGCCGCCGCCGTCGCTCATGCAGATTGTTGGTGAAACCGTTCTGCCCTCCTCCTCGGGAAACAACGCAACGAAGGGAGCATAACGGGCAGCCACTCGGTGGTATCGAGGGATCCATACGCGGCGGGACTCGTGGCAGGCATGGAGAAGCGGGAACACGCGCGACAAGAGAGGGTAGACGGCGTAATGGGCCGTCCAGCCAGGATGTTTTCGGATGTACAGCTCAAACTCCTCCTGGCTTCTGCACTTCTTGCACTGGCGGCACCACATCAGGCCGATGAGGCGTGCTGTCTGCGGGACCAGCTCCCATATCATCAGCCGCAGCTCCGTGGGCAAGTTGGGAATCGCGTGAACCGCCTTTCTGGTTCTGGCTGGGATTTTTCTTCTTCCATCTTTGGTCGGAGAGGGAGGACACACGATTTGGGAGGTTGTGTGAGGAAAGAGAAAAGGCGCGGGGAAATTTCTTTCATAGGGTGTAATAAATCCCTTATACATATTAGGTACAGTTGGCCCGAAGGCTGAGCCGCTGTTGGTTGCAACCACCAGAGGAATTTTGGCGCTAGTGAAATTCGTCGATAAGGGGAAATATTTTTTTGGGTCATTTGAGCCCAAAAAAAAGCACCTTTCAACTTGCTATTGCAAGCCCAATAAGGTATACGCGGCCTAAGTAGAGCTGTTCAAATATAGGCCGTTGGGTGCGCATGTGGTCAAAAATATGTTGAAGATTCCCACGAGTGCCAAGAAAATGTCAAGATTCCTCTGGTCCTTGCAACCAAGAGCGGTAAGGTCGGGTTGTACAAAGTATTGATAACCGTGGAAGCAAAAATCCAAACACATGCAGGAAAAAGAGAGTCTGGTTCCTGGGCTTATAATAGCCGTCAAGTTGAGGACTGATATCGCCGTTGGAAAGCTAGCCCATACCAACAAACCCTCACATTATTACAAGCTCTGGAACCAAGAGTGCTCGATTCTGGGGTAACATTGTCGACGGGGCGAAATAGCATCTAGGAAAGCAACGTATACTTTGGTTGAAAAGTCTCTAACTTGTGGTTTGAAGTTTCTGGCATAATTGACCCAATTATCCCCAAGTTCCTTCACATGCGTCTCTTCGTCACCCGCATCTTCATGTTTCTGATCACAAAGAGTGCATGGTGTGACCGAGTACAGGGCGCTTCAGGATCCATGATCTGAAAGTCAAACTCTCGGAGAAGCTACTGTTGTTAGTTGGTGGAAATACGTAGAAACGAGGCAATGTTAAAGGAGGCCAAAACCCCCCCCCCCCCCCCCAAAAAAAAGACTCACCTCAACGAACACCTTGTTCATCTCCAACCATGCCAAATTCTTGCCCGAGCACATATATCTCCCGTATCCAAATACCAAGTCAATGGTTTTCTCCATCACTGCTCTTTTCTCAGGAGGACTGTCCAGGAAACGCTCCGGCCTAAAGACGTCCGTATCCTCGCCATAGATATCGGCCCGACGGCCCATGGAGAAAAAGTCGACCGCAATCTTGGTGCCTCCTGGCACGAATTTTCCTTGGAGTATGTCGCCCTTGGGAGGAACAACTTTGGGGAAAAGCAGCGAGACTGGTGGGCTGAAGCGTAGGCACTCTAGTAGACATGCCTACGTAGGTTAGTAATATCTTGATAAGCTGATGTGCTTATTATTATGACGAACTGCTTGTTTGTTGTTATGTACATACCTGGAGATACCTGAGCAGCTTCGCCTCCGTGTCTTTGACGGGACTAGAGATCTGGCCGGATGCAATAGCGTCGTCGATTTCTCGCTGTAGTCTTGAGTACACGCGCGGCGTCGATGCGATGAGGAGCAGAGCCACGCGGAGTACGTTGGCAGTGGTGTCGGACCCGGCTACCAGCTGGCTGGGGAGCTCCGCCTCGCATTGTTTCCGTGGGAGGCCGTGGCGGATGAATGAGCCCTGTTTATTTTATTTGTCAATGTATCTTCGTTTTTAACGAACTTTAAACGGGGGTGCGCTAACTTGCCAGCATGTCTTGTTCGTCTGAACTTTTCTCCCGCTGATCTCCTTTGAACCGAGCGCCAACAACCCGATTCGCAATTCTGTGCAGGTAGATAATGAGAGATGTTAGACCTGCTTCTCACCAAAAGAAAAGAACTATATATGGATAGAAAAGATGGATGAAGTGAGATAACGTACGCCATGGTCACACCCAACCCCTTCTGATCGGATACCTTCGGCCCCAACAGCTTCAAGACAGGCCTCGACAAAAATATCTCGCCCAACCACGGCACGTCCGAGCACAGAGCAAAGTAAACGGTGCTGCCCTCCACCGTCTTGATATACTCGTACACGTCCGAGTCACTCTCAAGATACCCAAACGCCTTCCCATATGCCACCTTGGTGAGCGAGTCGAGAGTAAAATACTGCGCAACCATGGCCCAGTCCATCGGTTTGACCACTTTCTCAGTAGTAGAGACGTATTTCTCCCCGATGAGTCTGACCAAGCTCGCAACCTGCTCGTCGACATCTTTCTCCATGCTCGGCACCTCACGACCAGAAAAACCCGCAGCCGTGCGCGCCTTGACGTCGTCATGAAAGGCCGTGTCCGGACTGCTGATCATGGTGTGCTGGTATGGGTCCAGGCGCATGACCGAGTACCACTCGCCTCGGCTGTATCCGTTGTGGGCGCCGTTAATACGTTGAAAGACACCCGGGTCGTCAGTGATGAGCATGTCCGGGCCGATGCGGATGAGTTCTCCTCCTCCCGAAGAAGAAGTTTTGGAGGAGGAGTAGCGTCTTCGCACCGCCATGCGGATCTTGTATGCCCTGCCCGAGAGGGCGACGCCCGCGAGCCAGAGCAAAGAGAATGAGGCTAGAAAGGGGCCGCGGAAGTGCCGGAGGCGGCGCCAGGCGATGATGGCGGTGGTGATGTAGTAGATGATGGCTGCGTAGACGGCCAAGTGGACGAGCATGTTGATCATCATGCTAGGTAGAACTAGTAGACGGAGCAACGAGTGGCGTGTGGGGATCGGAGTCCTCTGGGCAGTGAGTAATGCTACTTCGTTGCCAGCGGAACTTGAGAAAAATGAACTCCTGGCTATCGGAAGGCGTTACCAAACAAACATCGAGCCTTTGTAAGAAGAAAAAAATTAGCATATGACTGCATAGAGCTGCGTAAGACATATAACAGGGCCAGCAAGTAAAAGTAAAAAAGCAAGGCAACCGATGTGAATGAGGGGAAAGCCTGTATGCCCGGGATTTGACTCCTACGTGTCTACCTATCTACCTACCAGGTAGGAACGCAAAAGATAAGAAAATACGAGACAGCCACTGATGTGACGAGTGTGCATACGGATGTATATTAACCCCTTTTATTGCAACACTGTTACGCTGCAATCCATCAAAGCGCACACATTGGTGATAGTCCGAGCCGTCCCTACTAACTACCAATATCTCGGACTTGTACTAACTCGGTCACCAAGGAATTCCTCATGGTACTAGTCTAGCTGTAGTGATTCGGTGCCTTATTCTTTAGAATTTTCAAGGAGCTGCTATGTGGCTCTATGGATTCATGCTC